AAAATACTGTGGTCTGGGGCATAGCTCACAATACTGTGGGGGTACCTAACACTACTGAACTGTACGCTTAAGAACAGTTAATGTGGAGGGGCAGGGTTCAKTGGCAGAGCACTTGCCCAACACGCAGACACCACAGGTACACACAAACAACCTCATGGCGTCACCCTCATCCTGTTCTATCAGTTCTATTACTATTGTCACTGCCTTCCTACATTTCAGTGGCTCCTTCTATTTATGGAAGTGCCTTGTGAGAATCATTCAGGGATCCCTGTTTGGTTCCCAGGGCTCTTGCATGCATAGAGAAAGGCTGCCTGGCCTTGCGTTGGGGGGAGTCATGAACACTGTGGGGAACAGGAGGCTCTCCAACCCCCCCAACCCCACTTACCAGTTCCCACAGTGGGAACTTAGCCCTGTCTCCCTTTCTTTCATATTTTGCCACTCTGTAACAGAGTTCAAAAGCCTTGGGAGTAAAGAGCTCCTTTGTTKAAAGAGTGTTTTCAAATTTAAATGAGCATTTATTGGGCAAAGATGGCCCAACCMGTCTTTTGAGAATGGAAGGCTCTTTAGAGGAAAATAGAGTCCCAGTGGAATGGAGTGGAGTGGATGGTCTGAGATACTTGTTAGATGTGTGGGAAGGGTCTGGACATAACAGGCCTGGGCTGAAGTTGCTGCCTTCTATCAGCATAGCTAATACCACTGTTCATCTGTGACCAGCAAGGTGGGGGCGTTGACTGCTTCCTTCCTTCCTTCTCTTTCTTTWTTTCATAATGGACTTGTCATGTCTGATACTCAGGCTAGCACAGTATTCTAGTAGAGTTGGTGTCTGCATTCTTAACATCCTATAGTATGTTCTGATTGGTGGGAGGGAGTGAGGGAGGCAACAAGCCAGCAATCCCACATGTTAGAACAGAAAGTCAGCCATCCCTGCCTTGCGGACCTCCTGGGGAAAAGCACTGTGAGGTATAAACATTATAATTAATCCTGTTCTGATCCTGAGAGCAGTGTTCTTTCTGTGCGATCTATTCCTAATACTAAAGGCTTTTGTGAGCCAAGCATGGTGGCACACACCTATAATCCCAGCGGCACGGGAGGCTGAAACAGGAGGATCCCGAGTTCAAAGCCAGCCTCAGCAACTTAGCAAGACCCTGTCTTAAAATAAAATATAAAAAAGGGCTGGGGATGTGGCTCAGTGCTTAAGCGCTCCTGGGTTCAATTCCTGGTACAAAAAAAAAAAAAAAAAAGACTTATGCATGTGTGCTGAGGATGCATGCTAAGGAGGCACTGTACCACTGGGCTCTATCCCCAGCCCCATGAAGGATTTCTTTATGCTGTGTGTGGTGTACTTGTGTACGTGGAAAGCATTGAAATATTATAACATATAAAGAAATTATTGCAAAGTGCTAATTTTGTCTTGTTTTATTCATTTTTTCTTCCATCTCCCCTAGAGTGGTGTCCTAACAGTTAAACTGGGTGGAGATCTAGGAACCTATGTGATCAACAAGCAGACCCCAAACAAGCAAATCTGGTTATCATCTCCCTCCAGGTATGTTCAGAAGTTGAAATCTGTACTGGTTTAACTTGCTTGAAATGTGCTGTTGTAGACCATTTAAGAAGGGTCCTCTCAGGTGTATCTGCAGGTGTCTCATTCCTGATGTTTACAGCCTGTCCCATCTTCAGTAGCAAAGTTCACTCTAGTGACATAGCTTCTCCCTGCTGATAACTTGACTACCGTCAACAGGCATCAGGATGTTGGCAAGATCTAAAGCAAAAAGAGTACAACTTTTCAGAACCTGAACAAACCTGAACCTCCATTAAATTGTTTGGGGGTACAGTGGTAGARCATTTGCCTAGCATGCACGAGGCCCTGAGTTCTATCCCTGGCACCATGAAAAAAAAACTGTTTTTGATATTGCAGCATCTGAGCAAGTTGTACTGTCTTCAAAGCAAATTAAAGTTTGAGCACTAGTCTGTTTTGAGCATCTCAGCTAGGGATCAGCTGAGTAGCTGGGACAGTATTATAAGTCACTACTATAGGGCATTTAATCCCTTCATCAATGTGCTTTCAGTGTAGAGGAATAAAAAACTGTGTTGCAGACAGCCTTCGTCTCAAAGCCTGAGAACACACAGAGCCTCTGCAGTCCAGCTGCTACTGAAGTGGTTGTAAGAAAAGAAGAGAGAGATGCCCACAGAGCTCTTAGACTGACCTTCCTGGTCATTCATTATCACTTCCAAAGAGAACAGATGTAGTGTGAATTGGGAAAGGCCCAAATGAACCAGTGTGGAATTCTTAGAAAGCCTAATGGTATTTGTAATTAAGAAAAAAAAAAAGTATAGCCAGACACACAGTKGTGCACACCTGTAATTCTAGTGACTCAGGAGGTTGAGGCAGGAGAATCACAAGTTCCAGGTCATTGTCAGCAATTGAGCAAGACCCTATCTAAAAATTAAAAACAAAAAGGGCTGGGGATGTAGCTCAGTGGCAAAACATCCCAGGGTTCAATCCCCAGTGCTAAAA